GAAGCATGGTGGAGGGTCAATCATGCTTTGGGGCTGTTTTGCTTCTGCAGGTACAGGGAAGCTTCAGCGTTGCAAGGTACCATGAATTCTCTTCAGTACCAGGAGATATTGGATGGAAACGTGATGCAGTCCGTCACACACCTGAGGCTTGGGAGACGTTGGACCTTTCAACAGGACAATGATCCCAAGCATACCTCCAAGTCCACTAGAGCATGGTTGCAGAGGAAAGGCTGGAACATTTTGGAGTGGCCATCGCAGTCACCAGACTTAAATCCGATTGAGAACCTCTGGTGGGACTTAAAGAAAGCAGTTGCAGTGCGCAAGCCTAAGAATGTGACTGAACTGGAGGCCTTTGCCCATGAAGAATGGGCGAAGATACCCGTAGATCGCTGCAAGACACTTGTGTCAAGCTATGCTTCACGTTTAAAAGCTGTTATAACTGTAAAAGGATGCTGTACTAAGTACTAAGATTGAATGTCACTTGGGGGTTGAATAAAACTGATAATGCTGTGAGCACAGAAAAGACATTTGTGGTTATTTCATTATAACTGTTATGTTATATTTGTCTGACCTACAAGTGCCTCTTTAATGTAAATGTAAGCAAGATGACTGAATGATCAAAAGCAATGTCAAACTGGCCAAAACACTCAATTTCAGTGGGGGTTGAATAATTTTGGACACAACTGTACGTATGTAGATAAACAGGTACAACCTATGTAGGGAGACTTGTTTAATCTCTGTGCATCACCTGAGGCTTGCCACTCTGCTGGGTATAAGTAAGGGTTTACAACCACTTTAATTAGCCATGACACTTATGATCTGGCGAGGGGGTGTCATTCACCAAAATATGTGCTTAATAGTGTTCCTCTTCCCCGTCTTACAGGTTTGGGAGGTATGTAGCCCAAGTCCTTCCCCACATCAGGCTTCTACCAAGAAGATTGTTGAGCTGCACTAACTGCACTATTTCTTAACACTGCATGATGGAAACCAAATAGAAAAGGTGAACACTCAACATGCATTACATACTGGTTGGTGCGGTTCCACTTTCAAAAATAGCCTTGCTTTAAAATGACTCAAGCATTTTAACAACAAAACACCTGCTCATGGGTAAAAAGCTCAGGCACCTAGAGCACATACCATTCTTTTATTTATTTTTTTTTTTTTTTCAATCAGATTTTTTTTATTAAGCATTTTATATTAAACAATACACATACGTTAGGTTGTGGGCAGGGCTTAAGGCACCCTAAAGTGGAACTTTAGACTCTTCGCTCACTAATAGCTAACTAAGCAGGCGTAGACTGAGGTCAAGACAAACCTGAATTTAGGCAGCACTCCAACTAAGAAGCAAGCACATGTCATGGCACAATGAACTCTTCATGTCTCGCCCATTTCACAGCAGTGGTACACTTGACTAACTTGTGAGTAAATGCAGCATGGTGTGGTGGCGTAATTAAATAGAGTCCAATGGCAGGAACAAGAACTTGTATTAAAGGACTCCACAGATAGCCCAGCAGGAGAGCCCCATGCCAGGAAAAACTCACAGTTCCATTTGACTTGAGAACACAGCAGCGTCTCTCTCTCAGAGGGCGGAATGTGGCCTGGTCAGTCTGGTCCCAATGGGGAGGCTTCTGTTGAAGGATGATGTGCCCCTAATCTATCCCTACTCATCAGTGTCCTCACACTGCCGCCATCATTTTTCCTGACAGACTGGTGCTCTTTTTCCCTCTTCTATATACTTTGCAAAATGCGTGCCAAAACTTGGGGGCAGGGTCTGCTAACCCAAGATGACCACCAGGGGTCACCTGGATGCAGCATAGCCAACTGGAATGCTGCCTCGGGGGACCAGGAAACCATAGAGAAAACAGATTTTTCCTTACTTCCCCTCCAGCTGCAGTACTGCTCCAGTCAAGGGCCATCTACAGTGGAGAAAGCACATGCCTACAAACTGTACATGATCTTCTTTCCATGGTGCAGCACTTGTGAGGGGATACCAGCCCAGCTTTGATGTCAGCTCAGTCCTACTGACATGCCATTGAGGATAATCATGCACATTCTTCCCATTGACATACTGCTAGATACATAGGGTCTCTGTGACGTGGGTTTAGACCTGAGCATGGGGCAATGGCCACTAGGGAGGACGTTGCACATAGCCCAGGAGAGCCCAGATGGGTGGCTTCTCTTTTTATTTATAGCTCACCATAATGGGCAGAGCCATGAACACCTGGAAATAAGCAGCCATAATCCTTACCTATCCCCTGGGCAGCCTGCTAATGCACTTGCACATTACTAAACAGAACATAGTAAAGTAGTCACTCACATAATAACACCAGCTTTGTGAATAACATGTTACACATACCAATAAAATAAAGTGAACTTTATTATACACAGCAACACATGTAAGCACCTGCTTACAAATCCCTTTCCCCTTTACCCCAACCTTTCCCTCAAACTCCCCATCCCCATTAGAACAGTCAAGACCAATGTAACTTTAAACAGTTTCTCCTGTGTTTGCCGAATATGCTACATGGTAAAGTGGTCATGAGTGTAGAACTTGAGTGTGCTGGACCATTTCAGCATACAAGGAGAATCCAGTTAAACAGTACCATAATGTTCACAACCAAGATAAGGGTCATCCTCCCCATACACAGATATACAGTAATAAATGTGAGCCAACCAGGCACATAGCTAATATAGACAAATTTAAATACAGTATAATTGAAATAGAATTTTATACTGTAGAAGTGTGGAACATGGAGCCACCTCACTGTCAAGGTCCTACCTTTTCCCAGAGGTTATGTTACTCCATGTGCTGGCATCCATCTTGGATTTATGCTGAGCATGGTGGGAAGCTTTTATGCCTTCAGGTCTCTGAGGTCCATCCCCCAGAGGGGTGTGGCTGAGTACATATAAGCCTGTGATCCGCACATGCTCTTTGCACTTGTGTCTTGTGTCTTTGTCTTGCTACAGCTCTGTGTATATGCTCGTGACTCTTCTGGTATTTGACTCGGCTTGTGACTAGACCATTCCCTGTGTTTTCCTTTGATCTGACCTTCCGTTGCTGAACCCGGCCCGTGACCTGTGATTCTCTGTCTACTGTTCTGTACTGTTTTGTCCCGTTGTTGTTGACCCAGCTTGCCTGACTACGCTATTGTCATTCTCACCAGCTACACGCCATTGGCGGCGGCCATTACCGCAGCCGGGGTGTCTCGGGGGCCGCGACCTGGTTCCTGGCTGCGTCAAGTCCATCCCCACCATCAGGGGCCCTAGTGAAGGGCAGCCTGGGACTTAGACTCCGCGCCCTGAGGGACTTCGGTCTGTTGGTGGTGGTTGTCGTCAGCCAGTGCGTTACCCTGCCACTAGGCCTACCTGTCCGTTCCACAGCCCTGCCCTGACACTCACCCATGGTAAAAATCCACACAGGTGTACTTCCATTTTGATGGCCACTCTGATCAGGCAAAGCTTCTCCTTTCCCAGTAGTGTTGGAACAGGTCCAAGCCCTTTTGATCCCACACACTGCTAATAGCCAATTACTATGTTTTGCTGTCTTGATGGCCAATAGAAATATGTGGGAGGGAATGGGCAAGCATTGCCACAACCAGGACATGCTGGAGCTCAGAGAGTCGGGCACTGAAAGTCACAGCTGCTTTTTTGTTCTTGAAGTGATAGTCACTTTAAAGTGACCCTTTGACCACCATAGGGTAACTTGTAAACTAAGGCTGTAAAATGAGAACATCTATTGTTGTTTCTCTCTCACAAACTGCTCTTCCACTACTGACTCTCCAAGGCAGTTTTATTAGACTTATTCTACATAGACCAAATGTGCTTATGGCATACACTATTTGTGTAATACTATTGGCTCTCTTTACATTGCATACTTCTCAGAATCACCTAACGTGCCACATTATTTACTCTAGAACTTTTCGAGACAATGGATGTATTTACCATAATAATGTCTATGGTTATCCTGGATTTATATCAATGTCTTTTTATCATGTTTTGTATGGATTTGCATAGAATTAGAAAAAAATAAGAACATATACTATACTAACCTTTCTGGCAGACTGTGGCTTCAAACTCTGGCTTTTTACTGCTTCCTGGCTTCAGTTGTTATATGAAAGAACTCTTTAAATGCATTGTTTCTTTAACTCCAAGGGGTTAATTCACTAAAGGAGTAGACAATAGTCACTTAGCCAAACTATATTTTGAATACCCATCCATATGCAAGAGAAAACAAAGTATAATTAACCACTTGCCCTCCAGAGGATTTACCCCCCACCCTTCCTGACCAGGTCATTTTTTGCGATACAGTGCTGCATTACTTTAACTGACAATTGCACGGTCATGCAACGCTGCACCTAAATGAAATTTACATCCTTTTTTCCCCACAAATAGAGCTTTCTTTCAGTGGTATTTTCTTTTATGTGCTATAAAAGAAAAACCCTGACAATTTTGAAGAAAAACTATATTTTTTACTTTTTGCTATTAAACATGTCTGGTAAAAAAATTTTAAAAATCAAATTTCGTCAAAAATTTAGACCAAAATATATTCTGCGACATGTCTTGCTACAAAAAAAAAAACCCAATATGTGTAAATTAATTGGTTTACGTGAAAGTTATAGCGTTTACAAATGGCGGCTTATATACAGGAATTTTTTCTTTTATTTTTTACTAGTAATGGCTGCGATCAGCGACTTATAGCAGGACTCTGGTGGGCATTCTGATATGGGGAGGAACTGACTTGGTGTCACTGACACTGTACTAATGGCACTGGGCAGGAAGGGGTTAACATGTAGGGCGATCAGAGGGTTAACTGTGTGCTGTTTTACTATCTGGGCTGTGTGTCTTTCACTGTAAGCACACTGCTTTGTATAGCTCTGCTATGCTATGCAGAGCCATACAAAGAAGTGTGCAGGGACTGACAGGGGAAAGATTTGTATTGTTTACATAGGGGTCTCTCCCCCGTCGGTAATACTCAGAGACAGGGGCGGACTGACAACTCTTGGGGCCTCTGGGCAATAGGGGATCATGGGGCGCCTGTTTCCTTGCCCAAACTCAAAAAAGCCTATGAAAAAGGTACCAGGGGCATCTCATGGGGCCCCCCACTGACCCCGGCCCTCGGGCAGTGCCTGAGTTTCTAAATGGTCAGTCCGCCCCTGCCCAGAGATTGACCCGGTGATTGACAGCTGAGACCACGAATGGCAGCGCAGGAAAGCTGTGTGCACGCCCCTTACCCGGAACTGCAAAGTCATGTATATATACATGATTTTGTGCACCCGTGCTGCCCTGTAGCAGTATTTCTACTAAAGGGCGGCGTGGAAGCGGTTAAAGTGGTTGTAAATTCTTGCAAATACCCAGTGACGTAAATGGCAGCAGGTGATACACAGAGATGAAAAAAGAAATCATCCTACATAAGTTGTACCTGTTTATCTGCATTCCTCTCTTCTCTCCATCGGTTAAAAGTGCAGAATTTTTAAAGGTTGTCTAACTGTCAGGAAACAGTGGGTGGGGATTTGAAATTACACTCTCCAGAGCTCAGTGAAAGCAGATTGGAGGGGAGGGAACCCCCCTCCCCCTTTACAGAGCACACAGGAACATAGCTGGGGCTGTGTGATGGAGCTCCCTCCCCTGTCACCTTTTTTCTTTTGGTGTCAGGAAAACTTGACAGAAACAACTCATGCCGATAGCAGAGGAACAAAACAGCAGACAGAAATGACACTTGGTGCTCTGGCTTGAGATAAGTACACACTATAGCTTCTGTATAGCAGTCTAATCACGTACTAATTGCAGATACTATGTGATGTACAGGTCTCATAAAGTAAATAAAAATCTTCCATTACCCTCCCTAAGTGAGCCAGATTCTTCTTCATTTGTGTCTTATGCTTCTCCCCCCACACACTACATAGTGGGAAGAGTTGCAGCAACAGTGAAAGAGACAGAGCTGCTAATCCAGAAAGCAGTGGGCAGGACTAGATGTGGCCAGTTGATGATCAAAAAGCTACAGCCTTGTGAATCAGCAGTGATGCTGATGCTACATAGTTACATAGTTAGTCTGGCTGAAAAAAGACAAAGGTCCATCCAGTTCAACCATTAAAAAAAAAAAAAAGTTATAATCCTATACCCACAGTTGATACAGAGGAAGGCAAAAAAAACCCCAGCAAAGCACGATCCAATTTGCTCCTGGAGGGAAAAAAAAAATATTCCTGATCCCCCGAGAGGCAATCGAATATTCCCTGGATCAACTTTACCTATAAATGTTAGTATCCAGTTATATTCTGTGTATATAAGAAGAAATCCAGGACTTTTTTTGTGAATTGGTGCCCACAATTGAACTGCATATTCCAGATGAGGTCTTACTAATGATTTGTACAGGGGTAATATGATATCTCTCTCCGGAGTCTATACCTCTTTTAATACAAGAGAGGATTTTGCTCGCTTTAGAAACCGCAGCTTGGCATTGCATGCCTATTATTAAGCTTGTGATCCACCAGAACTCCCAGATCCTTCTCCACCATTGATTCCCCCAGTTGTACCCCCCTAGTATGTATGATGCATGCATATTCTTAGCCCCAAAAGTGCATAACCTTACATTTATCAACATGAAACCTCATTTGCCACATAGTTGCCCAATTATACAGTGCATACAGAGGTCGGCTTGTAAATTGAAGACATTCCACTGCACAGCTTGGAGTCATCTGCAAAGACTGAAATGGGATTTTTAATCCCAGACTCTCTATTGTTTAAAAATATATAAACAATATAGCCATGCCTCCTGCAACAATGTTTTATTCCACTCTAGGGGAAGCAGGCACAGCCTTGAGAGTGGCAACTCTGCTCTTAATTCAGCAGCAGTGCAGCATTGTTGACACACTATAAGAGGAAGTTGTAGGGGGACTAAGAGAAAGGAAGTACAAAAGCACCTACAATTAAGTGCTGCCATGCATTGATTTAATGGGAGGACATAGTTCATCTTTAAATAAATAGGATTTTGTGTGAACAAGATATAAAAGATTGAAGTGAACATAGCTTCACATCAGTCACTAAGCTAGTCAACACTCTCTACTCCTTTAGTAAATAAACCCCATGAAAAATAAATGAGTGGCAGAGATTCCCTCTGAGAAATGTAATCACTTGGTAATCCCAGATACATGAAGGTCATGCACATAACAGTGATTGCCTTCATTTGGTGTGAATAAATCTGCACATTTACAACAGATGCTGTAACATTTATTAAAATCTATCGCTCAGCAGTTTCATCTTGGTGGTCCTTGAACTAACTTCATAATTGAGATGAGGGAAACTAAGCTGGGACCTGGGTTTTCTCTCTGCAGTGTCACCTTGCCCATCTGCTGTGTCAACTTTGACAGAAATTTGGATAATGACAAAAAGCTGTCAAATCTGATAGCATTTTCTGCTGCATTCATTTCAGATGATCAGTAATTATTATGGCATCTTGGATTAGGAAAACAGCATTTCTCAGAGATCATCATGAAATATTTACTGAACATTATTTGTGCTTTCCTTGAAGCTAGGTTAAATGCTGCTCTGAATGTGAGAGCTGTACTGGAGAATGAATAATTAGAGAGGTTTAGCTGTCATAAAAACAGAATGTACAGCATGTCATTTATAAAAGTAAAGGAGGCGATGTCTGACTGATGGTGAGAGGTTGTGGCGGAAAGTAAAAATGTATCAATATCTTTTGTTGGCTAAGTAAATATATTTTGGGGTTCAAACTTTTTAAAACCCTTGTAACTTGTACTTATAAACTCATGAATACAGTGGAAAAATGAAGAGAACAAGTTGAGAGAAAAAACATTTTTTCATGTTGAATAAAAATAAGAAATGGTTGAAGCGGAATTAAGTTCTGATGTATCAAACAGCAAGCAAGCAGATTTTTTTTTTGCAGAAGAGATATTCCATCTTTCTTCTGCAATAAAATGCCCCTTTTGGCCTGCTCGTTGTCTTCTCTGGTGCTGTAAACTGATCTGCGCATGTTTTGGGTTGATCTCTGTCTAGAGAAGAAGTAGCCAGTGCCAAAAGAGATTGCAGGAAAGGTGAGTATCTTAAAGCCTCTGTCTTTTTTGCCATCTGTGCCCCATTGGGGAGATTTATTTTTACTTGCTGTCCTGTAGACAGAACAGGAAGCAAGAGGAAATATCAGTATCTATTTCAAAGCTGACCACATTATTAGGGATCTAAGTATCCCTGTGTAACTAAAGTTAAGATAAAACAAAATGTTATCTGGCAGAGTTTTTTTTTTTTTTTTTTTTGTAAAAGAGACTTTATAAGTCTCTTCTACCAAAAACTGCTTTATCTGCCTGCTGTCAATTTTTGTCTAGTGTAAACTGCCTGCAGCATATGCGGAGTGGGCACTACCAGCATTGGAAACATCTCATCTGCAATTCTGTTTTAAAATACTTTCTTTTTTCTTTAAAGGCTAAGTCTACCTTTTACAAAAAATAATGCTCACATGTTTGCAGTAAAAAAAAGTTTTTTTTGCAAATCAGATTTCAAAGCATTGCAACTGTGATCTGTAAATTGCAGGTACAATACCAGGCTCCTGCAGACACTTCCTCCAGCTCTAGGTCTGTACGGAGATAGGGGGATTCAGTTAGAAAGCTGGAGGACATATCAATGGACTATGATTGTGGTAATTACTGCACTTGTATTCTATTGAGAACTACAAGTCCATCTGCCGCAGTGGAAGATGGAACTTGTAGTTCATTCATTCACTGATCTATGTAAAAGAATGACACAGCTACACAGGCGGAACCAGGGGCGGACTGACAACTCATGGGGCACCTGGGCAATAGGGGATCATGGGGCCCCTGTGTCCTTGCCCAAATTAAAAAAAGCCTATGAAAAAGGTACCAGGGGCATTTCATGGGGCCCCCTACTGACCCTGGGCCCTCGGGCAGTGCCCGACTTTCCAAATGGTCAGTCTGCCCCTGGGCGGAACCCCACATAGCAGTGCAAATTTCAAAACTGACAGTCAGTGGCTGCAAGGGAAAAGAACCCTCATGTGCTAACACGGGAAGGGGGGGGGGGGGCAGGTGGACGGGTGGGACAAGTTGGGGATATGGTCTTCAATCTGTAACATCCATGTAACATGCTACAAAAGGTGAAATTAGTCTTTTAAAGAAAGCATTGCATTCCAAGCAAGTGTAGTGCTTACCTCTACAAGATACGATGTTCTCTGTTCTCCACTACTCTTAAAACTGCTTGGTGCTCGATGACACACCTGGTTATAGGTTGGAGGCCTATAACCAGTATACTACCGCTCTATAGCAGTACACAGAAAATAGTCCACAAACAACTGGATGGTAGGTAGATGTATTCTAGCAAGGCAGTTAAACAATGCAGGAATCAGTGGATAGGCAACTAAATCACTAAGGTGAACACTGGCCTATAATATGGAAGTTAAGTAACCAAATTTTAACTGGTATACATAGTGAAAAATATAACAGCAGTAACTAACACAAAAAATGGTGTCCTCAAGTGCATATGTGCATACAACCCCTTAGTGGTGGGTTTACACGTTCTTGACAAGGAGTACCAGTGGAGGTGGCTACAAAAGTATTTGGTGGCAAATGTCAGTACTATCAAGCTGTCACTGGGGCTCGTCTGTAAGGTGCTGCTTGTGAAGCTATCCCTTTATGACTGTACACAAAAGATGGCTGGTGAACTGATAAGTAAGGAACAGTCTTTACTGGTACTAACTCTGGGCTGTGAGGAGATAAGTATGGTTGTCCTGCTCACCACTCCTGCTACTCAACAGATCTGGTCCAGCAAGCTTGGTGGTCTTTTGTCCCTGGTGGCTTGGTCCTCATGATCAGGTCCCTACAAGGTTCAGTCCCCGTGTTCACAGTCTCACCAGTTCTCCCCTGCTGTAGACACACAAACACCAACAGGTCCCTCCAGCTCTAGTCCAGCACAGCATACGACCTTTCAGTGGTTGTGACCCTCAGTATGCTGGTCCTCACTTTCTTGCTCCCTGCAGTAGACTGCCCCAGGCTCTGGTGAAGTCCTGTGTCTCCCTCCTGTGTATGCTGGGATTTATAGGTAGTAAAGTCCATAGCCCTATTAACTTGCATTGTGCAGCACTCCTAAGGGAACTACATGTCACATGAATCTCTTCTAGCTTCCCCTAATTGGTCCACTGCTGCTGTTACAAGGAGGGAGGAGCAGAGGATTTCACACGCAGTCGATCCAGCAGAACAATGGCAGCTCAGAACAGCCGGCTCCTCAGCACAACTGGCTCCTCCACACAGCCTGCAGCACACCTAGAGGGGCATTGAGGAAGGGGGGGAGAGAGGCACAAAACACACAGCTAGTGAGCGGCACCTGGCTACACAAAGTCATCCTATTTAGGGCTGATACCCCTTGGTAAAATGATCCATTAAACTGAAACTAAATAAATAAATAAATAAAACCTTGCTGATGAAAAAAAAAGTTAATAGGAAGTCACATCATCATCCTGCCAACAGAACCCACGAAATAATAGACAGCCTTGCACAATGCAGGATCGTCTTTTTTTTTTTTTTTTTTTTTGCAAGATTTGCGCTAGTTACCATTCCTTGGTATTACTTTTGCCCTCACCTAACCACTTCAGGCTGAAATGGGAGGAAAGGTAATTTTTTTATTCTTCCCCTCACATGTTGTTTTGCAGTATAATGCAGTGTTTTAGCAAGGGGATATTTTAATGCAAGATCCACTTTAAAAGGAAATACAGCAAGAAGTGCAATTTCCTTGAGCATTTCCTCAAACACCATTTATGCCTTCTTCACCAGAGCTCTGATGAAGATGGTATATCCCTTGAAATGTTTAACATACTTGTTTTGTGTAGTAAAGGATTGCAATGGTGGTCTTCTATATTGGCCAACCAGGATGGTGGTCTTCTATATTGGCCACCCAGGCTTTTGAGGTGCATAGATCCGCAGTCAGTGCAAGAGCGCCCCCCCATGGCGGAAGTATAGATACATGATTTTGCACAGGAGGGCTGCCCTGTAGCAGTAAAACTGCTATAGGGCAGACCTGAAGTAGTTAATCTTTGTTTCATGGAAAATGTTACTGAAACATACAGTATCATATAGTTGAAATATTGCAAATCCTCCCACACCAGGAAAATACTGTCATTGACAGTCTGAAATTAGACCTTGTCTATAGAGTTTACATGCTTTCACACATCACCATGTCAGTGAAAATGCATTAATGATTTTCGGAGGAGATTTTAACATGATTAAATAAAACAAACCCGTCAGATAATACGCCCATCTGTGCATTTCTGGAAATGTCTCAAAGCAACATATGAGGATTAATCATCGTTTAAAAACATTTACGCGTGTAATGGGTATTATGCTAGCAGCAATAGAAGCCTGAGCTGCTTATATAGTATATTATGATTATAAGTTAAAAATATACACACATTTTTTTCTAGTTTTGTATGGTTTCTGGCAAATAATATTACACGTAAAGGTCTTAAATTCCAGTTCCAACTCTAACTTCCAACTTCCCTAGCTCTCCCCTCCTGAGCAACCAAATCTAGGTTTGAAATTACTTACTTGAATTGATTGACATGTGACCTTGTTAAGGTCCTCTCACAGTGCCACAAAGCCAGTCTTCAAAGACTAGAGGACCATGTGAAGAGCCATGTGAAAGACACTGACAACAGCCAATAGGTAGTGTCCAGATCACCAAGAGCAACATGGGCGCTGTAAGGAGAGTCCTCACACGCTGAAAAGCAGTAAAGGAGAATCTGACCATTGGGGTCTTTATTTTTATTTTACTTACATTTTGTGATTAGGTAGGGATTGGATGGGAAGCGAGATATATATATACACATACAGCGGTTAAAATAAGTATTGAACACTTCACCATTTTTCTTGGTAAATATATTTCTAAAGGTGCTATTGACATGAAATTTTCACCACATGTCGGTAACAACCCATGCAATCCATATTACAAAGAAACCAAAACAAATAAGTTCAGAAATTAAGTTATGTGTAATAAAATGAAATGATACAGAAAAAAGCATTGAACACACTAACTCAAATGTATTTAATACTTCGTACAAAATTCTTTGTTGGTAATGACAGCTTCAAGACATCTCCTGTATGGAGAAACTAGTTGCACGCATTGCTCAGGTGTGATTTTGCCTCATTCTTCTACACAAACAATCTTCAACTCTTGAAGGTTCTGTGGGCCTCTTCTATGAACTCTGATCTTTAGTTCATCTTCATCATCCTGGTAGATAGCAGCATATTTCTATCAAGAATGTATTGGTACAATTTCCATTCATCTTTCCTTCAATGATATGATTGCTAATTCCAGGTCTTTCTGAAGCTCTCCACAAGTGGTCCTTGGCTCTTGTACAACTCTTCTGATAATTTTTTTCCCTCCTCTGTCAGAAATCTTGCGAGGAACACCTGGTCGTGGCCGGTTTATGGTGAAATGATGTTCTTCCCACCTCCGGATTATCGCCCCAAGAGTGCTCACTGGAACATTGAGAAGTTTAGAAATCCTTTTGTAACCAATGCCATCGGTATGTTTTGCAACTATAAGGTTGAAAAGGTCTTGAGAGAGCTCTTTGCTTTTACTCATCATGAGATGTTTCTTGTGTGGTACCTTGGCAATGAGATACCTTTTTATAGGCCATCAGTTGAGACTAAACCATATATACAGTATTTTAATTTGAATTGCATGGAGATGAGATTTAAACCTCTCAAGTGGGGTTGCCTTGCACAAGCATTGCAACATTAGCAGATCACATATTGGAGTCACACTTCCTAGGTAGATTCTCCATATTGTGGAATAAACTCATAGAATGCTGATCCATCTACAAGAGAAAGACTTCTTTAATTTAGCTTTGTAGGAGAGGACAGAAAACACTCTCCACTTTCCACTACTGGTGCAAAATCTCCATGCTGGAAGTTCTGTGGCGTATAAAGGAGGTCAGCACTGATATGACCTAACATTGTCCTCTGCTTACCAAAAATGTAAATGAAAGTTTTGGCCAGAGCTAGATTTTAAAGCATTGGCAAACCTAATAAGCGTTGTTTACTGTAAAAGAGTTTGTAATAACCTATACACAATAAAAGTACTGATTTTGCAGTTGTGCAAATATTTCACGTAGTCCCAAATCTGATCTGCCAGATCATTTTTTTCTGTTTCACTAGTAATTATTGCTGCCATTTTTACCTATTTTTCTTTTAAGTTCAGGTCTCAATATCTGGCCAACACACCATGGGGTTGATGTACTAAAACTAGAGAGTGCTAAATCTGGTGCAGCTGTGCATGGTAGCCAATCAGCTTCTAAATTCAACTTGTTAAAAAAAATCTTTGAAAACAAAACATACTGGAAGTTGGTTGGTTTCTGTGCAGAACTGCACCAGATTTCACACTCTCCAGTTTTAGTAAATCAACCCCCATGTATATAGAGTGGGGTTGCTGGGGGTAGGTCTCTTGCTTAAACCAATCCATATTCATCCAACGTTGTACAAAAAGATTGGGATTTTTAAGGTGTTCAACAGACTTCAAACACTTAATAATCTACTAATATCATACAAAGCTTTATTCTGTATTATTATGTACAAAACTACATCACATTAGTAGTTGTAAGAAGCTTAAAACCAACATGATACTTCATATCGCTTGAAGTTCACCATGCAACAATTCCAACTTGACATGTTTCACCAAATTTCTGGCTTTTTCAGGAGATTTACAGATAGTTGCATATAATTGCCACGAGAAAAAACTAAAATATAACAGTAAGCAATTTGATGTACTAAATTACAAAAAATGTCATCAATACATTATAATCATACATAATTAATGGCTACGCCTACTAGATGTAGGTTTTTATAGGGTTAACCTGCCAAGGTTGTTCTTACCAGGTGTATCTTCCTATATGCAACCCGCCAATACGTACCTCCCTACTAACAAACACGTCAACATCTCAGTACAACATAGAAGGAGGAAAAAAAAAAGAAAATAAATTATATATATATATATATATATATATATATATATATATATATATATATCTCAACAAATTGAACAGGCAAGATGTCCTACACCTACCAAAAAGAACTGAGGAGTCCAAGAAAAACTTCTTGGGCGAACTTACTCGCCTCAAACAAATCCAGAATTTGATATCGGTATCTGAATTCCTCAAGGGGTACAAGAGGGACCCCACAAAAAAGCCATATAGGCACCTTCAAATTTAAAAAAAAGGAGGAACAAAAAGGGGTAATCAACTCAAAAAAATCTACTTAATGAACACCACAAAGAAAGAAAATATCCATCCTTATACTTCCATACCATATACTGGAGAGGTCACAAGAGAGTTGAGTGTAGCAGCCATGCAGCCAGCCTAAGCTGGCTTATATATCTCCCCACCCTGCCGGTGATTATCCTAAGTGGGCCTGCACATGCGCACAAACTTGCCAGAAGTGACATCACATGCATGCGCCAGAGCACTTCAGCGCCATTTTGGAACATCTATTGCTGCCCTAACAACGCATAGAGTCCAAACAGGGTTCACCACCTTTATATACCTAAAATGAACTAGTCATGCTTCGGTGCCATTAATTGTTAACAGCACACCAAATGCAAAAGCAACCACACATTTTGCCATGTGAAAAAACAAGCATCAAATGCAGCAAAATGTGCAGTAAAAAATGTACAAACCACAACATGTCAAAATGTCCTGTAAACTACTTTGCCACATGTAGGGCAACCCCTTGAAATGAATGGTCTGAGCTATGCATGTCACAAGAAAAGGAACAGTGTGCACCTAAAAGACCTCACATTATATTACTCACATTCAACCCAACCCCCTATTCCCACATATAAAATCAAATTTAGGCATACTGTACATAATTTAGGCCTATTATCCCTGATTAAATCTGCCCTGCTGCTGGCCAATTATACATTGCTGTATCCTCTGTGTGCTTCTATGCTAGTGTGCTACTACTCTATAACAGCACACAGAAAATAGGCCATAAGGAACTGAATAGTAGGTTAAAATAATGTATTTTGATAAGACAGTTAACCAAAGCATGAATCAGTAAATAGGCAATTAAACACGTTTAAAGATACTGTATTAGATAATGTGAACACTGACCCATAAGATGGCAATCAAATGAAATGTAGTGATGCTGAAACAAAGTATAACTGATGCAACAGGGTTAACAGTATTGGCACTAACTAACCCATAATATAAAGTGCCTTGTGTGCATGCTACACACATGCTACGTGACTATAAATTACTTGGATCCTAATTGTCAGTATTATCCGGCTATTGTTGGGGCCCTTCTATAATGTGGTGAACGTGAAGATGTCCCTTTAACCTCCCTGGCGGTATTCCAAAGTGTAGCTCAGGGTAAAGTTTCAGTACCACAAGAGGTAACCCCGAGCTACACTCAGGCTTACCATGCGGCGCTGCTCCGCGATCCCTCGATCACTTACCTTGTCCTGCGCTCCCGCGATGTCCCTCCTGCAGTGTCCCCGGCAATGTAATCCGGCGTTTGCCGGCATCTGTCATCTGGGTTCCATCCCCTGCGACGTCGGGACGTACGGGGATGGAATGGCGGGAAATTTGAAAATGACAAAAAGTGACATTCACTAAAATCGCTAAAATCACATAGTAAAACATTACTGTATCAAACCATTTCACATACATTTTGTCCCTAGTGCTTTGTCCTGTGCCCTGCCTGCATTTTTACTGTTCTTTCTGCCTGGAAACTGAGAAATGTTCATGGCGTCCAAAAAGTGTCCCTTTTGGTCAAAAGTGGTTTTAGACCAGCTAGAGAACAGCGATAGTAAATTAGAACTACTTGCAGAATTGAGTGATAATGATTCGTGGGGAAATTCGTCATCAGACACTGAAAACGATTTTGCGACTTTGCTCAGTGATGTGCGAACTTGGCGCTATATTTCAAATTTCAGTGTTTTTGGTTTGATTATATTATTGAATTAAATTTATGATTATATTATTATTTTTTATGATTATTTATTACATTATAATTTATGATTTCGTGTTTCAAATTTTATCATACCCAGGATGTTTACTAGACTCTTGTTAGGACAGATTTCAGTGAGTTATTCCTAAAAATTACAGGCCTACAATAAAAAAAAAATACATATTTCAATGCAAAAAAATGTACCGCTTTGAGCACAGAAATATGGACATAATCAGACCACTAGGGAGGTTAAGAATGTTAACATTGGGTAACTAATGGGCCGCTAAGTAAGGAGCAGTCTCTATCGGCAATAACTGTGAGCGGTGAGGGGTTAAGCACTGTTATTCTGCTCACCACTCCTGCTGGGCAATGTATCTAATACAGGGTGCTTGACAGTCTGTTATCCCAGAAAGCTCAGTCTCCACAGTCAGGTCCTCATGATTGGGTCCGCACAAGGCTTAATCTCCAGGCTCTGGTGTAGGCACCTACGGCAATGAGTCCCTGCAGCCCTAGTTTCAGCACGACAAAAGCCCTTTCAATTACTCAGTCCCTAGGCTCTTGTTCATGTTACACCCTCTGCTCTGTCTGTTCTTGCGTAATGCACAGACCCCAGTAGCAGGTCTGCAGTCTCTGTCTCTCCACAGCAAGAGGTTCACAGTGACTCAGTCCTTGGCCTCCATGGCTGTCTCCCTGGTACAGACACCACAGTAGGAAAAAATCGAACAAGAGCGCACTGGCCTAGAGCATTATCCCAGATAATTTATTGAATGAAAGTTGAAATATACTCACAAACAAGAAGTAACAAATCGCATAACAAATGACAATCACTGGAAATATGCTCCATATGGCACCAAGACCCCCCGACATAAAAGAAGTGCCATCCAAGGGCCAAAGAAAGGCTGGTGTGTTTCGAGGGAAACTCTCTTCCTCAAAGCCAGGTGACCTTAGTGCCATATGGAGCATATTTCCAGTGATTGTCATTTGTTATACAATTTGTCACTTTTGTGTGTATATTTCAACTTTCATTCAATAAACTATCAGCTGGGATAATGTGCGCTAGGCCAGTGCGCTCTTGTTCCATTTTTTCCTGCAGTTACTCCGGAATTCCCCTGCCATACATGAGAGCAGCAAGGCTTGGCTTATCCACTCGAATTTCGCATTTATTTGGGTTTCACCATACCTCCCTGTCTTCAGCCCTCTACACTCATGCGCAGGAGCTTTTGACTTATTTGACTACAGACACTACAGCAACAGGTCCACACTCTCTGGCTCCCTGCACTTTTCTACACATATCTCCGCAGATTTGCCTGAGAAAAATCCTATGCTCTCCTCCTCTGCTTGAAGGGAATCCTGGATGTTTGAGTCTGCAGCTCCATTAGCCTCCATTGTCTTGAATTGTACTATGCTCTTTTCAGGACTATAGTTCCTAGAATCCATGGCGGCTGCATAGTAAATCCTCCTTTCCTTTCCTTCTGGTAGCCTCAGGTCCTCTGCTGCCAGGAGGGAGGGGGTAGAGCAGAAGTAATCCCAGCAGTGGGGTGGGGGGAAGAGACACAGCACACAGCCAGCAACTCAACTGGAAAATAAGGAGAGAGGGGCAAGCTGGAAGATACACAGTCCGGTACTCCTCCTCTAACACATCTGCTAATACAGTGGCCGGGGGACGAGCAAGGGATTCACACAGATGGGGGCACCCGGCTACACACGCTTATAAAAAAAAAGTAATAAAATACTTACAATAGTTTAGTTAACAGACCAAAATAGAAGTTAGAGAGGTCCCGTGTTAAATTTAAAAATTCTAAATATTATTAGAGGCCGTTAATGATTGTGAGTCATTGACCCAATATATTCTTACAGCAGGTGAACTTAAAGTGATGTCCAATCACCCTATATGCCTACTTGTTCCAGGTTAGTGACTCACTGTAGTCAGCACGCAATAGCCAGGGGAACATCATGCAACTTGTATTTGCAGCAACCCATCAGCAATGGAAGCCTCTTTTTCTGTCATAATAGGTTTTCTTTACTTTAAAGTATAAAGCAGGGATTTGCAATATACTTCAACTTGTGGTGAGAAAAAGCAATTCAAAGATTTAGCAATGAATAAACTCAGTGCCTTTCATTACCCAGATGTTTCCATATTTATCGGGTACATTTATATCAAAGTAAGGGTATTAACCACTATGCTGAACACAAGTCTCGCTCTAATAGTCTTCATTGTGTTGTCAATGTTTTCTGCAAGGAAAGTTATTATACAGTTAAAACTTTTCTTCATAATTAAAACCACAAAACCCTGCTGAAGTGCGATATTTCACCTTGAACAACTCTGCGGAAGTGCTCGCTTTGGAACTCGAGTACATGTTTACAAAGTGAACAGGATTATTGGAGCCCCTCTTTGTATGTTCCTTTGCAGAAACAATGGTGACGTATTTTTTAACCCTTACTTCCAATATTATCTGTAAACATAATTATTAGGAAAAAAAGGAAAAACTACTGAGGAGCAAAATGAAATATATGCATAAATAAAAAATTCTAGAAATAGTTGGAGTGGAATAAAAAGGACTGAAATGCAATAACACCAATGCGCCCAATAACACCATTAAATATCAAACCTAACATGATCAAATACCACATATACTCCTTGACCGTTTTTTCTGCAATTAATGGGTGGGATTTACTAAAACTGGAGCATTCAGAATCTGGTGCAGTTTAGCCAATAAGCTTCTAACTTCAGCTTGTTCAGTTAAAGTGATACTAAACCCACAACAGTAAAATCAGTCTGTATATGCAGTAAAGCATGCTTGTTTTACACACTGTGGAACCTAAGGGGTTAATCCTCTGTATTGTATAAAAATGCTGTTTGATCCTGTCTTCTCTGATCCTCCCCATCTTCCAGTATCCCCCTTTTATTCCCTGATAAGACATATCATGTGAAGACACTCTGCACATGCTTCGTTTGGTGTGTATTGCTAGAGAGTTTTTTTTTTTTCTTGGGAGAGTGCATCTGATCAGCACAGGACCAATCAGCACTGTCCAGATAGAGGTCAGGGGTTCTGCATCCTCCTAGAGCAGAATGAAGACTCCTCCTACAAGCTTTAACCAGTGCTCTGCTGCTCATTTTTAACATATATACAGTACATATATATATATATATATATATATATATATATATATATATATATATTAAATACAGTATCTTTTATCCAAAATCATATTTAAATAAGTACATACAGTACCTGGACAATTAATTATTGGTGTGCTGCTTTAATCTCAAAATCTGGGCTAAATGCGTTCCACATTTGAGCACTCATCAGTGAACCCAGTATGCAAGTAAATTCTATGCAAGCAAATCTTGTTATTTTTTTTGGCTCATTTTAAAGGCAATCAATTGTTGAAAAAAAAAAGGCACAGGGAACTAGGTACTGCAATAGGGGACATATAGTACAGATACATACAAATATACAAAATATAGTACAGCAGTGATAGGGTCTTTTCATGGGATTTAAATGGCAACATTAAAACATACAAATCCAACTGTAGCTCTTTAAAAATACGCTCTAGGGTTCCACTTAGCTTTCCACCCTGATTCTTATCCAGGCATGCAGCCTTGGTGGATAGGAAGGGGAGGCCTCTTTCCTCTACCAGATCGGGCCACCTGCTTTTCAACATTTACCCCTGTACTCATTCCTAGGAATGAGAAATTATTGGACCCTGTACAGCCTACCTGACAGCTGCAACCCCTCACCCCTGAAAATATCAAATTATATTTTTGCTAGAAATACACTAAAATTATTTTTAGTGGACAGAAACACAACAACATTCCTACTTTGTGTCCAAATGAGGCATTAGGGCTCATTCACATGGGCGCTGTGGCCTGTACAGTGTGAATCAATGGGTTTGTTTATATGGCTGAAACTGCCTTGACCTGATCCCTGGTGAAGTCAGCCTATATTACTCTATGGCAGGGGTCTCCAAACGTTTGCAACAAAGAACCAGTTTACTACCCTTCAAACCTTAGGGGGGTCAGACTGTGTCCAGTGGGGGTAGAAAATTCCCTGAAATCAATGGGAGTAAATAATGTCATAGGCTTGGTGGTCAGTGAGATTTAAATAAATATATATTTCGTGTCAGTGGAAGGAATAGTGCCCCACCATTGGTGTCAGTGGGAGAATTAGTTCCCCATCTCTGGTGTCCGTGGGAGGAATAGTGCCCCATTGTTGGTGTCAGTTAACCACTTCAATACCGGTCACTTTTACCCCCTTCCTGCCAAGGCTAATTTACAGGTTTCAGCTCTATCACACTGTGAATGACAATTGCGCGGTCATGCAACACTGTACCCAAACTAAAATGGTATCATTTTGTTCACACAACGAGTTTTCTTTTGGTGGTATTTAATCACCACTGGGGTTTTTATTTTTTGCTAAATTACCAAAAAAAAATAAACATTTTTTTTTTAAACACATTTTTCTTTGTTTCTGTTATAAAAGTTTGCAAATAAATAATTGATCTTCATAAATTTAGGCCAAGATGTATTCTGCTACATTTCTATGGTGAAAATAACCGAATTCAATATTTATTATTTAGTCTGTAGTTCACAAACATATATCTGAAAATTGATCAATCCTGAAGTACTGACAGCCAATCTAATTTCTTCAGGCCCAAGAATGTCAGAACAGTACAGATATCCCCCAAATGCAAAGTAGACAGTCCGACGTACTTCATAGGAGGCATGGCAAGTTTTTTGAAGTTGTAATTTTTATGTCATAATTTTTTGGAAAATGAAGAAATTAAAAAAATTATTTCACAATTTTTTTTTACATACTGTCACCAGTGCAGTACAGTGTCAGCATATATCTGGTGTGCTGGTGATCAGGGACACTGACTGGTGACGGTACGGGAAAAAAACATTTTATAATTTTTTTTTTATTACATTTTTTTTCTCTTTTTATAAGATTTTTTTTTCATATTGCACTATGACCAAAGTAGCATAATGTTACCATAGTAACATTGTACTACTTTGGGGAAGTTATCAGTATTTTTTTTTTTTTTTACACAATTTGATTGTTTATAGCAAATTATTTATTTGCTATAAGCAAGCATTTAACTGAATGAAATCGATTCATTCAGGTTTTTGTTGTTGTGATAAGCTGTGATTGGCCACAGCTAATCACATGAGACAGATGAGCTGTGTTTGGCCCAGCCTGTGCATGTGATCGCTGTGACCATTCACAGGTAGACACAGTTGTATACAATGGATAGCATGAAAGGAAGCCATCCATAGTATCAAACTGTCATGTGACCTGGTCACATGGTACTGGCAACGGGGCCGGTACACAGACCTGTGATCGGCTGTGTCCGAGGTACACGGCTGGTGACAGATCTCGCCACAGCGTGGCCCTGTGAGCACGCGCGAAGCGCGATCCGGGAAGGACGTCATATGACGCCCTCCCAGAGGGACATCGTTTGACCATAGGCCGGGTGGCAAGTGGTTAAAGGAATAGTGCTTCGTCTTTGGTGTCAGTGGAAGAAATATTGCCTCATATCACTAGAAGGAATAATGCCCCATGGGCCAGGTAAAGGCAAGTAAAGGGCCACATACGGGCAGCAGGCCACTGTTTGGAGACCCCTGCTCTATGGAGACACAGCATCTGTATGAACATGGCCACAAGACCCCACAGGGCTCAGACAGCAGGGGGATGAGGGTGCAGATGCTGGAACTGATCCCCCTGTAGCACAGTAAGAGGAAAAGAGGAGCAGGGAGATGCACAAGAGAATTCATGTCTGCAATAAGACAGTACAGCTGGCCCTCCTGCTCAGTAGGTACCCAGGCCCACCTTTTGAACTGATAGGGACGGGCCCAGCATAGGAGGGCCGGCTGTACTGTCTTATCAGCAGCCCTGTTCATTCCCCTGGGAGATGGTGGAAAAAGGGGGCCTCTAGATTCCACCATATTATACCAACCTATTTTTGGGGGCATTGGAGGAGGGATAGGGGTGAATTTCTCACAACATTGGGACAAAGGTGTCTTGCAAGTGGGGGAGACATATTCGTTCTTCATGGTATGTGTAAATGGGGGGTGTGGAAGAGGTGTGTACATAAAGGGGGGTGTGCTAAAGGTGTCCTTTTCATCTCAAGATAGGAAAAATGCAAACTGTAAACAATATTTGGCAGGTTGATTACAAGACTCATGAATGTTGTAAATGGTGGACTAAGCATTTTGAAAAATAATACTTTAGTTTTCATGTGGCTATAACAGTAGCATCCACAATCTGGAGGTAACAGGGGTGTGTGTGTAGTTTGTGCACGTACATTGTGGTGAAAGCGTCCCTCAGAAAGGTATACTCTGCAAAAGCATTAAATATGTACAACAACAGTTTTCTAGAGGCAAGGGGAAGAATTATGGCAACAGTCTGAGTGAATCATACATATACCTGGTGCAAATCCTGAAAATTATGTATATTAGGACTTGGGTTACTTTTCAATGACTCTGTGAGCCTGGAATCTGTGATATTTTTCATTTCTGACAGGGAACACTAGACTACCATAGGGAAGCATTTCATAAAAAAATACCAGAAACTATTTTTTTTTTAAAAACTCACATAGCTCTTATTCTGCGGCAATGTCTCTGAAAGTGTATTTGTAAATAACCTGCAATAGTGTGGATAACTCCACCTTCAAGTAATAGAAACACCTGCCTAGGGAAGCTCTTCATTCACAGATCTCTCTAGTAAGACTTCAGCCTGCACATCAAGCAGCATACGTTTTTTAATCTCAGCCTGACTGAAATGACTTTGATTTCGGGTTTCATACGAGGAACTTGTCATAACCTTGATGGTACTGACATAAACCTGAATGTATAAATCTGACATTTAAGGGTAGGAATGTGATATAGGAGGACTGTGATGGCGATGGAATGCATTTCATTAGCAGTTCACTTTCCATATACTTTAATACCTTCAGCCATATATACTGAGTTGATAATAAAATGATAATATGGAAAAGTTATAAATCTAAGAGAAGTTGATGGATAGATAGATAGATAGATAGATAGATAGATAGACCAATATTTTTTCATTGAATCTTCCTTTTCTTACTTTCACAAGCCCAATGGGTATATTTATAAAGCAGTGAACAGGGGCGGACTGACAACTCATGGGGCCCCCGGGCAATAGGGGAACATGGGGCCCCTGTGTCCTTACCCAAACTCAAAAAGGCCTATGAAAAAGGTACCAGGGGCATCTCATGGGGCCCCCTACTGAGCCCAGGCCCTCGGGCAGTGCCCAAGTTTCCAAATGGTCAGTCCACCCCTAGCAGTGAATATGATGTTCACCAAACATACACTGTTGGTAAATCAATCAATGACAAAAAAAAAGTAATTAAGGTAGTATTACCCTAGGTTCAAACCCAAGTGTTTTCTGCAGCGCTTTCCATTTTGCAGAAATGCACTACAGTACATTTAACATGATTTCCTATGGGACACATTCACATTTCCGCATTTTCACCCTGTGTTTTTTGGACGGGGTCAGGGACTTTTTTGAACACAAAAAGTTGTGTTTTTGGTTCTACAGACTTCAAAGGAAACACTGCAGAAAAGCATGCAGTGCTCTGTGTTTTTGCTGAGTTTTTGCCATGTTTTTGATGCATTTTGTGTTTTAAATCTATTTACAACAAGAAAAATATAAAAACATTTAAAAAAACTCATCAAAAATGCGGCAAAATGTGGCAAAAATGCAATGCAAAACGCAATGCAGAAACGGGTCAAATGCATACTGCATAGGTGTGAACCTAGCCTTAAACTCAAAACCAAAAATGTCATATATTGCAGCTTACCAATTATTATGTGGTGGATGTGTTAGTTTTCTTTTTTTAGGTTTTCTTCCCTATGTTTTCACCTGGTGATCTGACCAGTATCACACCTCCTGTATCAGAGCGCCCCCACTCTGGATGAAGGAGCACAGTGGGCATATTAGGACAACAGCATTGTTTTTTTTCCCTTTCAGGATAAACGTTTTACATAAATATATTAAAGGTGATCATTTTAAGCACTGCCAGTGTTAAATGGTTTGTCTCATCCCTGTAACGGCAAGAGAGCTTGATCTGTTGAAAATCAACAGACTTACTGGCTGGATCACCAGATGAAAATAGAAGAAAGAAAGCCTGAAAAAGGAAGTTTAGCCATCACATCTAAGAACTGGTAAGCTGAAATATAATAAATGTTTGCTTTTGGGTTTAATACTGCACTAAATGTTTAGTGAATGTCAGATTTAATGCTTTATTAATATATCTTCAAATCTAAAGTATGTGATACTGTGTGTGTGTGTGTGTATATATATATATATATATATATATATATATATATGTGTGTGCGTGTGCGTGTGCGTGTGTGTGTGTGTGTGTATCTATGTTAATTTCTATTTTTCTAACCATCTTTCAAAACTTTTGTTTATTCATTATGTTTGTTCAGTTTTTAGTCTCATATTAACAAATATTCTAATCACTTATTATTTAATTTATTATTATGTTACTTATTATTTTAAACTAACACTAATCAAAGAAGTGCATTTCTTTGTGGGGGGTTTTTTTGTGAATAGATTACATAAAAACTAAAATCATTTTTGCAAGACAACATCACCAAAAGAAAGCTTTGTTTGTTCTGAAAAAAGTTATGACAAAGTTATTGTCCAATTAAACAAGCCCTTAACAGAAATGTAAAAACTGCATTCGTTTATAGGGGGTATACGGGTAGGAGAGCAGAAATGGTTAATATACCTAAAATTCTTAACAAAAACATCTTTATTATACAGTATATATCTTTTATTCCAAACTATTTAATTAACATAAATATTATGAAAATGTACTCTAGTTTAATGATAATTATACATAATTTATAGTAACTAGTCAGGTTAACTCTGTTATTCTTTGATTGGGACAAGTGAGCGCAGAAAGGTTGCCAGACCACTAAAAACCCAGGTCACTGTGCTCTATTTGTCAAGTGTACCTATGTTATGGGGAAGTGTTCTGAAGTCCCAAGACAAGTCCTGTCCTAGGGTGACAACACTGTTCTGCCATATACAGTGCAGTGGATAAGATTCGCCACCCTAGGACAAGAAGAGCCAAAATGAGGTCATCTCAGGGGCGGACTGACCATTTGGAAAGTGGGCACTGCTCGAGGGCCCGGGGTCAGTAGGGGGCCCCATGAGATGCCCCTGGTACCTTTTTTTTTATAGGTTTTTTTGAGTTTGGGCAAGGACACAGGGGCCCCATGATCCCATATTGCCCGGGGGCCCCATGAGTTTTCAGTCCGCCCCTGGGTCATCTAGAACACAAACAAATGCCCCCCACCCCTTTTATGTAAGAAGTGTGTCTAAAAAAGTTCAATAAATGGTATCAGAAAACAAACAAAACAGAAGATACAAAAAATTATCTTTATTGGCTGTCAAACTAATAATCATCCTGCACAACACACTGTTGGCAATGTTCATAAACCTCCTGGAAATGGTCAGCAAAGACCTCTTTAGGAATCAACCGCAGAACCGCTGTCACACACTCTTGGATTGTCGACACGTCCGCAAAACATGCCTTTCATGACTTCCTTCATGCGGGAGAAACAGAACAAAGTTGATTGAGAATAGGTTCTCTGCGCTGAGCCAAGAATTGGCGTACAAGGGTTGCACAGTGCGCAGGTGCGTTATCGTGCAGCAACATCCACTGTCCTGTCCTGTGCAACTCTAGCTGAACACAGTGGATGCATTTGACCAACCTTTTCAAAACGTCCTCATAAAATGCGGCGTTCACAATTTGACACAAAGGAACAAATGCCTTATGGATGATTTTATCATTGTCGAAGAACGCAGTCAACATTGTCTTGACTTTGGACTTTAGCATGTGATTCTTTTTGAGTCGCGGGGAAGATGGTGAACTCCATTTCATTGATTGTCACTTGGATTCCAGATCAGACTGATAGTACCAGGTCTCATCTCTTGTGACAATGATTTGCAGAAAAGATGGATCCTGGTCACACATGGAAATTAAATCTCTAGAAGTTTCCATTCTTTTTGCTTTCTGCTCATCTGTCATCTTGTGCAGTACAAACCAGTAACTGCTTTTCCGCTTACCCATATCTTCGTGGACGATGGTGTGCACCGTGTCCTTGCTAATGCCTAATTGCTCCGCCATCATTCGTAGAGTCAGTCACCAGTCTCATGCCAGCATTTGTCACACTCACTCGATGATATATGGGGTTTGTAGCAGAACTCGTAGCTCCATTGCACTGTGATCTTACCTCTCACACCAACTACCTATGACTGCCAGCAGAGGCTTTACTATGATGGTCACGTGTACTCTGGGCTAAGTGGCACTTCTCGACGCATCTCTGGATAGCCATGTACATTTTCATGAACTTGGCCGATGTTGATGTTGAGATATTGGACCATTCACCAAACTTCTTAGACACACCTCGTAATCTCATATACTGACTGGTGCTTGAAAAATTATGCACAGTATATCTCAATCGCGTATGGCTCTTTAAGGTTTTTTGAAAGGTTATGTTTTTTTTAACAGTCTTCTTTAATGATAACCCTTTGACAGGTACAAAAACTCTAATAATGTCTATTTAATGGCACGCCAAACCATTTTCACTACCCCCTAAACTAAGGAAAGTAGTTGTAGTTACCCTTTTAGGAATTTCTATATGATTTTTACATTTTAAAGCTCTATTCTAGACCCTCACTGTCCCGTGTTTAGTTTAAATGGTGTATATGTACCTTTTTCTAATGTTTTGGGTCCAGTCCTGTAACAACTCGACTCTCTTCCTCTGGACCTGGGTGGCCCTGAATGCTACAGAGAACATAGTTCATGTAATGCAGCATTCTCTAGTGGACTTAGAACCACTTGGTGACATGCCTCCAGGGAACAAGTTCATGACGTCATGGGTCCTCAGGAAGTGGGTTGAATGGTGCTGGCGTCATTTGATCTGCGAGAGGGCTGACATTTGCTGTGGTCGATAATTCAGACAGCATCCCTACTCAATGACACCTGCAGTAAATTCATTTGCAGTTAAGCACAGCAATTCTTTACAATTTTCACATTCCTCAATGTAGATATACGAGGTAAGATTGGGAAGCTTTTTACCTCAATTACCTTCAGACAGAAAGCTTGTTAACAGCTTGGTAAGCAGGGTGCTTGCTGGATAGACAATGGAACATATTAGAGCACTTGACTGAGAAGGTTTGGAAGAGTTGTCATACAGCATCAAGCAGATGCAGGGATGCATTTTGGGTATGTTATAATTCAGGTATGCCCTAATAGTGCATTTATCCTTTAAGGCAAGACAGGCACAAACAAGAAAACTATTCTGGCTGTCTACTTTATCTACAAGATCTGCTAATTTGCATATTAGCAGATTTCCCAGCTTCAGTGGAAGAGGCATAGTGTAAATATGTTATATATTTAGAAACTGAAATAGGTGTACCAATATTAACTGTTTTTATCCTTCAAGCAATAGATAGAAATGTTTCACTGTATCAAGGGAGAAAAAAATGATTATGTTGACAGTGAACTATATTTTGTCCAAATAATAATACACATTTAAAGAATGTGTATATACAGGTCTTTTTTTCTCAAAGAATAGGTACAGGAACTCTCTACTTCTATGTGAGCCCTTGTTATCTACCCACCTTTGAGCTTCGCCCCTTGGTTCCACCCCTCTCCAACTCCCAGTACCTCCCCTTTTAGACAAATACAGAACCAAGTATAAATTTTGTGGTTCTAAGTAATTAACATGTAACTTGTTAATGATAACAAGAAATAACAGTAAAATAGATCCCTGCAGCTAGCAACAATAGACCCCCCTCAGCCCAGAAACAATAGATTCCCCCAGCAACAATAGACCCCCTAGTAACAATAGAGTCCCCCAGCAACAATGGACCCCCCCCCTGACAGCAACAATACATCTCTCAGCAGCTAGCATCAATAGATCCTATAGCAGCCAGCAACAACAGACTCCTCCCTCAACAGCAGCTACTCCCAACAAAAATTGACTCCCATCAGCAGCAATAGACCCCCTAATCCTAATTAACAAGAATTCAACTAAAGGTGAGTCTAATTTCATTAAAAAGGTGTCCAGCAGACAGTTTGTGTATAAAAAGGTGGTACTTAACAAAGAAAACCCCTTCTCATTTCATGCTGTCAGTAATGGCACCACATGGAAGAGAAATATCACAAGGCCTGGGAAAGAAATTTCTTTACACAAGAAAGGTGAAGGCTACAAGAAGATCATCAAAGCTTTACTTATCAGTCAGAATACTGTAGCAAAAGTGATACAAAAAAATGAACAAAGAAAGCACTGCAACCATTTCACAGAGATGTCCACGACGTCCACGGAAGTTAACACCTTGACAGGAGTGTCTTCTGATGAGAAGGGTTGAAGAAAATTTCCATGCAAGTTCACTGCAGTTAGCTAAAGAAGTAGAAAGCCAAACTCGGGTGATTGTTTCCCATGACACAATATGGCATACAGTGCAGAGGAATGGCATGCATGGGTGTCCCCACCAAGGAAGCCTCTCCTAAAGCCCATGCACAAAAAAGGCTGCCTATAATTTTCCAGGGCCCTTGGTGAAAAAGAAGAAGACTACTGGGACTCTGTACTCTGGAATGATGAGACCAAGATAAATGTTTTTGCAACTGATGGCTTCAAAACTGTATGGCGTTGCAAAGGAGAGGAGTAGAAAAAAAAATGCACAGTGCCTACAGTGAAACATGGTGGTGGCAGTGTCCTTCTGTGGGACTGCATGAGTGTTGCTGGTGTCAGGAAGCTGCATTTCATTGATGGTATCATGAATTCACAGATGTAGTGCTCTATATTGAAAGAGAAGGTGCTACCATCACTCCGTGCTCTTGGTTGCCGTGCACATTTCCAACATAACAGTGATCCAAAACACACATCTAAGTTATGGTATGGTATCCCCCTTCAGAACTTACAGGTATCTCTCCTGATATCCGGATGGTTTTTTATATGATCTATTTGTACCTCAGCTTACTCATCGATATTTATATAACATTTGTGATACCGAATCTGATGTGGAGGATTGAGCGATTGGCTGTGCTTAATAGCAAAAAAGTGGTTTGACCCTGTGTGGTCGCTTCATGAAGGTGAGGGGGCAATCTTACTGGTGAAGGATTACACTTTTTGTACACCTGCCAGATTTATATTGATCTCTGGAGATTTCTATATATCCAGCCATATTGAAGATTACACACATGGACGATTTGTTTATTGTTTATTAATAATTGGTGGCACGTGTTTTTGTAGACTTTGTTATAAATTTAAGTTTTGTGTTTATCATAGAGTGTCACTGGATTTTCAATTGTGGATTCACTCAGTATTTTATTTAATTACTTTTATTTATTTATTTATTCTTCCTGCTATTTATATAGCAGTATAGTCCCAAGTTTAGGGACGAGAGCACGGCAATTTATACTTTGATACATGTGGGCACTTGTTCAGTGGTGGTCACACATTTACGTTGAAGGATTTATTATAGTCCTTGCAGATATATATATATATATATATATATATATATTCAAACCAAGACAAGTATAGACAAGCACTCACGGGTCTTGTATGGATATTCTTTGTGGGTGGGCACCAAGGCATTTACTTCAGAAATAGGGGTTTATTTACTAAAGGAAAATATACACTATTCACTTTGCAAGGGAAGTTGTACTTTGCAAGGGCATTTTTCCTTAGAGCTTAATAAATGAGGTGAACCTCTGCTGGCATTCATTATCCAATTATGTGCAAGAAAAAATGCTGTTTTCTATTACCCTTGCATTTGATTGGGTATTGTTTGCAAAGTGAAATTGCACCTCTTGAACCAAGCTCTGGGGAAAATCTCTTGCAAAGTGCAAATTCCATAGTAAAGTGGACAGCCTATTTGCCATAGTAAATTAACCCCATAGAGTGCAGTGTCTACCCTTGTACATATATATATATATATATATATATATATATATATATATATATTATATTTCAGTAAATAGCTTACTGTTGCAATAGAAACTTTGTTGTCTTCCTCATGTTTATCATCAAATCAAATGCATAGGTTGGGCTCCACTAGTGTGACCCATTGGCACCATCCATGACCGTTTTACTCTCAGTTGTGTAAATAGTCTTGATATCATCCTAAGGAATCTATGGCAAACAGCTTGACCTTGCACTGGGAGTCATATGTGTGATTTTTCATCATTTCAGGATAATAAACAAATTGTATTTATCTCCTGGTATATTGTTTGAAAATAGGAGCATGCTTTTCAGGG